TATTTGTTGGGGCATCTTAAATGTTACTTCATTTTCTTCTATCACAAAGTGTTGTTGTAGAAAGTCTGATGAGAATGTATGATTTTTTTTTACCCTTTATAAATCACAAACTTTTCTTCCTTCTAGATGGCCAAATAACTTTTTTAGTTTTCTTTAAAATCTAATAAGTTTACTAGCATTTGTCTTGGTGTTGGTTGTTCCGGGTTGTTTTTTCAGATTCACAGTATGATCTTCCAATATGTAGTTTAAAATCATTTTTTCTTTCAGGAAAGATGTTTTAAATGTGAATTTTTTTTAGCAATTTTTCTATTTCCTTGCTTTTGTCTTCGTCTTCAGGGACTCCCATTATCCATATGTGAAATCTTCTTTATCATCAGTATTTATCACTTTCTCTTCAATCCTTTTTGTCTCTTCATTCATTTCTTATCTTAATTTTTTTTCACTTTTTCACCTTGTATTTCTTTTCAAAGTGTTATCTATTTTTTATTCACTCTTGGATATGACTAATTTAGTCTTTCTTAAATTATTTTATTATTTTATTTCATTTTTTCTCGGTCCTTTCACTCCACTTTTAAAATAGTTTTTTAATTTTTGTAATCAAGATTTACACTGTTATTTTATGTCTCATATTATTCTTTATATCTTTTTGTTTGTTTTAAAATGGTAGGTTAATAGTCATGATATGTTTCTTGAGCATATTTTTCTGGTGTACTTTTTTTGCTAGCAGCAATATTAACCTCTGTCTTCCCCCTCTCCACACTCCCACCATAGCTTTGTCTTGAATTTGACCTCGGTACTTTTCTCTGCTCATTTGCAAATGAAATTAGTTTTTCTTAACTTTTAAAATGAGGTAGGAAAGTTTTCCTACCTTCACAGATCTTCTTCTTCTGTTGTTTATATGTACTGTTTAAAAATTATAATGCTTACTTTCTGAGATTTTTTTGGCTCTACTCCAATCCTCCACTTTAGGCCTTTTTCTTTCCTTCTTTTTTTTTTTTTTTTTTTTTTGAGATGGAGTTTTGCTCTTGTTGCCCAGGCTGGAGTGCAATGGCGCAATCTCAGCTCACCGCAGCATCTGCCTCCTAGATTCAAGTGATTCTCCTGCCTTGGCCTCCAGAGTAGATGGGATTACAGGTGCACACCACCATGCTCAGCTCATTTTGTATTTTTAGTAGAGATAAGGTTTCTCCATGTTGGTCAGGCTGGTCTCGAACTCCCAACCTCAGGTGATCTGCCTGCCTTGACTCCCAAAGTGCTGGGATTACAGGCGTGAGCCACTGCGCCCAGCCTAGACCTTCTTTTTTATTCACCTCTCTTGTCCTTATCCTGTTTAATTTTGAGTTTAGCCCCAGCAGTTTCTTCTATGAGAAGGATTCTGTCTTGAAGAGAGTCCTAGTGGAATGGTTTTTAGATTCATAGGGGCTAGACTGCTCCAGGGACTGCTTTCTTCAGACCTTTCTTTTTTCTTTTTCTTTTTTCATTTTTAGACAGGGTCTCACTCTGTCACCTAGGCTGGAATGCAATGGCATAATCATAGAGTGCACTGTAGCCTCAACTTCCTGGCCTCAAGTGATCCCCCTGCTCAGCCTCCTGGGTAGCTGGAACTACAGGTGCATGCCACCACACCCTGCTGATTTTTAAAAAACAATTTTGTAGAGATGGGGTTTCACTATGTTGCCTAGGCTGGTCTCAAACTCCTGGTCTCAAGCAATTCTCCTGCCTCAGCCTCCCAAAGTGCTGGGATTACAAGAGCCACTGTACCAGGCCCCTTCAGACCTTTTTACTGTGGATCCCATGTACTCATCTGGTATTGAAGAGAGCAAAACCCCTCCCTATTTCAATTGCTGTAAATTGGTCTCCACGCATCCCAGTGAATATTTGTTGACTATTTTGGGGCTCTCCTGTTTTCAGGTCCATTAGATGCTGCCCTGACACTTCCTTCTTCTCCCACATGAATACCATGCAGGTCTTGTGTTGGTGGTGGTTTATCGCTACCAACTTCTTTTGGAGCCTATAGAGCAACCTTGTCATGTAGTTTTCTTATAAACGTTGTCCATGAAAATTTGGTTTTATCTATTTGCTCTGTTTTTACGTGTGGATTCACAGCATTTGAAAACTTTTGTTGCCTCTGCCTCTATATTCGCTAATACTTGGTTTTATATGCATGTTTACTATTATATTTATTCCAGTATTGTAAAAGGTTATGATCTAATTTAATCACTCACTTATAATTCCTATTTTTTAAGTTTTTAAATTTGCTGTGGGATACTCATCTTTACTGTCATTTTCCTTAAGTGTGTACTAAAAGGGACAATTTCTATGCCCTTCTTGCATGCTTCTCGTATCAGTGAGGTAAGCTGGTTCTACTAGGTTGTAGAAAGTAAATGTATTGCTGTTACAGTGTTCATCATTCCTGGCCTTGCCTTGTGTATCAGTGTATTCAAACTAAGGCTTTTTTTATGCAGTGGAAGGACTGGGATTCATAAGTCATAGAAAATAAATAAATACACCATATAGTTTTATGGAATTTTTCAAAAATCTAAACAAGATATCCACATAAGGTAAATTGAAATGTAATAAGCTGCATGTCTGTCATTCACTTACCAGCACTATCAGGAAAAGAGAATATCTGGGAGAAGGAAATAGAAAGAGATGTTTTCTCTGAAAATAGCTCCACCATAATTAGTGTTGACTAGGGAAAGACAAATATAAATGGCTATTTGCAACCTTGATCTAGATAAAAATTACAATTCTAATTTACAATTCTAATTTTTTATTGAAATAATACTCAATATATTATCTTTCTGAATGAGAAATCTGTTGCGAGGTTGTTCCTGATGTCTAGAGATGGCTAACCTACATTTAGAGAATAAACCAGTATCCCAAGAAAATTTAAGAGGTGTTTTGAGTTTTAATCTTTGTAAGTTGGACTGTACTGTACTGTAACTTAAGAGAGATTTTTAAACTGAAGCACAAGAAATATTAAAACAAAATGCTATCGCAAAACTGAAATACTGTTTCATGAATATTCAATGAGTTCCTGGAATCTGTTTTATGTCCTGAAGATACAGAAATAAAGATTTCCCTCCCCCCTCCATTTTCAAGGGATGGAAGAAGACAGGTTTTTTTTGGTTTTATTTTATTTTATTTTTGAGACGGAATGTTGCTCTGTAGCCAGGTTGCAGTGCAGTGGCATGATCTTGGCTCACTGCAACCTCCACCTCCTGGGTTCAAGCGATTCTCCTGCCTCGGCCTCCTGAGTATCTGGGACTACAGGCATGCACCACGACGCCCAGCTAATTTTTGTATTCTTAGTAGAGACGGGGTTTCACCATATTGGCCAGATGGTCTCGATTTCTTGACCTCGTGATCCACCTGCCTCAGCCTCCCAAAGTCCTGGGATTACAGGCGTGAGCCACTGAGCCCAGGCAGAAGACAGTTATTTTTTTATGATGTGTACCCAAATGCTGGTCTACAGGCAGGTGCTACAATGTGGGACAAGTTTTCATCAGCTTATGATGAAAATTGGGAACAGAAGGGCCACGTAGTAAATTTTTATAAAGCCTAATTTACTTTACTTAAAGGTGTTTTTTTTTTTTTTAAAGTTATGGCCTTAATAGTTTTTTACTGCCAAATATCCTTTTGTCCAAGAAATGATTACAGTAAGCGATAGTTTTGTTTTGCTGATGCTTGCTTCTGATAATAAAAAGTCAGTAATTGTTTAGTTTCAGAAATTTTTTTAGGTTTTGATTCAACTCTTGAAACCTGAACCACTATAAGAAGTTCTATCCCAACAATAAGAATTATACCTTATAAAAGAATCACTAATTCTATTCTGAATTTAAAGAGTTGTTTGAATTAAGTTGTAGAAAAATCAAACATAACAAATTAAAGTCTTAGAGATTTCTTACAAATAAGATGAAGATATGAATAGGTAAATAGCCAAAGATAAGAAAGGCAATAAACAAAGAATTTTAAAATGACCAGTATAAACACATAGAAAAACGTTCAACTTCACCAGTAATAATGTAAATTAAAACAAGGCAGGTGGATCAGTGAGTATTTGAGAAAATGGGCATTCTCTTAGTCTACTGTTGGAAGAAAATGTTGGTAAAACTTCCTTGAAATCTACTTGGCAGTATTTATCAAGAGTCTTAACAATACAGAAAGTCTAAGAACCAGTGATTCTGTTTCCAAAAACCTGTGCTGAAAAATACTTTGGAGCTGCAATTAGAGAATAACTCTCATGGATGTTTGTTGCTGTGTTGCCAACAATTAGAAACAGAAAGATCTATATTAAAATGTTTTTAAAAATTATGATCACATAGTTAAATATTATGCAGTCATAAAAATCATCTTTAAGAAGATCTAATAATGTGGAAAAATGTTAAAAGGATACAAAATTATGTATGTTTTACATAAGAAAAAATATGTGTATATAATAAAAAACAGTGCTTTCAGTGGCTCTTTCTGAGCAATGGGATTATATATGTTTTCTATTTTTTCTTTTCATGTATTTGCTATATTTTCCAAATTTCCAACAAGGAACATGTGTTACTTTTATGATTTAAGAAAATTATTATTTAAAAGTATGCACTTTTTAAAAAGAAAATTATTAGTATTGAGTTAATAGGTTTAGTTTCTAACTCTGAAGATGAACCTTTTTAAAGCAGGCTATGGGGCTCAACCATATAAACCAGAAGCCTATATATTAAAAAGTATGTTTTGTTTGTTGGGGATAAATTCTCTTGATGGTTTCTTTATGTCTCCTCTGCTATGAAAACAGACATTGCCACTCTATGTTACAAGGGTAAAATATGAATTAAAAGAGAATTACTAAAACAAAATACCTGTGGCTCTTTAGACAAATACATATGTTGATACCATCATTGCAACATAACTACTGTTTATATGTCCTGTGAGAATTAGCAAGAAGTGTATTAAGTATGTAAAGAACCACAGAGAAACTATTTTGTAAATACAAATTATGATTCTCTTAGCATAACTTTTATTTATATGTGTTGCAGTATAACCTTGAATATTTGGATGCAAGCCATAACCATGTGATAACCCTTGAGGGATTTAGAGGTCTGATGAAACTGAAGCACTTAGACTTGAGCTGGAATCAACTGAAAAAATCTGGCGATGAAATAAATATGTTATGCAAACACACCACAAGCCTTCTCACTCTTGATATTCAACATAATCCATGGCAAAAGGTACGCCACAGACATGTTACTAAAAAGCAAACATTTTTATTTCAGAGCCATTTCCCTACTAACTTTACTATTCAGTAATAGCCAGAGATAGGCAAAGTATCTTCATTTTTCTAGACTTCCTTCGTTGAAGTCATTCATAAATTGGATTTAATATACTGATCAAATGAATCAGATGTTACTATAAGAACAGACTATAATTTCATATCAGATTTTTTGTAACCTCTAATAGATTGAGAACATTATTGCTTTGAGTCATTGATGTCATTGCCATTTGCAAACCTCCAGAGATTTTATATAGTTCAGTGTGCTGGAACTGTATTTTAATGAGGCATAGGAACCAAGAATAATATAATACAGTGAGAGGGGCATACTATTAAGGAAGAAACATAATTTGACTTATAATATATCCTAATCTGTGGTTGAGCAACATGTTTTACAATTTTATTTTGCATTTTGCATTATTCATTACTTGTTTTCAATTTTAAGTCCAGAAATCACCTCCCCTCATAAACCTGCATTATAAAGTCTTATGTTCTCTTATAAAAAGGCAATCTGAACATTATTTTTTCTCATTACAAAAATATGTAGGTTAATGCTAGGTAATTTCCATATTCCATGACTATACTTAAGTATATCTTCAAGTATTTAAAGTAAGTCCCAAGATTATAAAGTCAAGAATCTTCCTTTCTCTGCCCTTAAAAGATGTATATCAGGTTGTGTTCAGCCTTTAAAAAGGAAACTAAAGCACAATTGGTTCTATTAAATTGACCATATTACTAAGTTTATATTGCTGTATTTCTTCTTTTTTGCTCAGTAAAAGTGAATAATATTTTTCCTTTGCCAAAGCATATTTCCTGGATGATCACACTACAGCTATCTCCCTGTTGCCAAATTTGATTGTCAAAGGCTAAAGATCCGTATTGAATCACACATGGAGATGACTAGCTTACCGCGGATCTAGATAAACAGGAGTCACTACAGTTGTTCTTTTAACACTTTTCACCGCAGTCACTTTTCAATAGCTTATGGGATTTCCCTCCCTCATCAGAGTGGAATCACCAACCTTCAAACAAATAGATTAATCATTAAATATAATTTCAACTATTATTTAAATAATTAAGCTTTTATTTTTAGGTATATGTCATGAACAAGGAAATGTATGATTTTGAATTATATGGAAAGACATGAAAACACTCATTTTCATGCCATAACATATTTAATAATTAATCAAAAAATTTTTTTTGTTTTTCCCAAGCCAGCCACATTGAGGCTGAGTGTTATTGGCAGATTAAAGACTCTTACCCATTTAAATGGAGTCTTCATTTCTGAAGAAGAAGCAACAGCAGCTATGAAATTTATTGCTGGAACAAGGATTACTCAGGTTGGATTTTACTGTTTACTATTCATTGGGCTATTTAGAACATACAAATAATATTTTGCATACTCTTTTTCTGTCATTAAGATTTTATATTCCCTCTTAGCCTATTGATAAAAAATTAATATAGAGCAATCATACCACTTGATTTTTTTCTGTTTAAATGTATCTCATTTAAATACCAAATTGTTGTATGGATTCTCTTGATTATCCATGAACACTACACCAAAAATACCTCGAGAGTAACTGCTTTTTTACCAGTCACCTGAACTCACCAAAGCCCTTTCTAGAGCCTACATGAAAATAAGCAACTTTCTGAGGATAAGGTAAGCTGAGACGCTTTCAGAAAGCATTTAGTGAATTATCTGTCTACTTAATATTAACATTGTATTTGTTTGGCTGAAAAGAACAAAATCCATTAACATGGAAGGAGGGGAAATATCTTTGTTATCCATATTAAGAATGCTGTACTTTAGCCAAAGTAGCTTCAACATCCTAAATATATCTACTCTAGTTTTCCAGCTGTTTACTTTTTGTGGAGTATCAGAATATTAATTCCTTAAGCAATGTAATGTTTAATTTTGGATCTATTCAAAATTTTGAAAAGAAACTTTTTATTGATAAAAAAAAAATTCACAATCCTAAAGAAGAGTTGGGAATTTACCCTAAGAAAGGAACTAAAAATAGAACTACCATTCCACTCAGCAATCCCATTTCTGGGGCTATAACCAAAAGAAAATTAATCGTTCTACTAAAAAGACACATGCATTAATATGTTCATTGCAGCACTATTCACAATAGTCAAATCACAGAATCAACCTAGGTGCCCATCAGTGGTGGATTGGATAAAGAAAACGTGGTAAATGTACACCATGGAATGCTACGCAGCCATAAAAAAGAATGAAATCATGTTCTTCGCAGCAACATGGATGCAGCTGAAGACCATTATCCTAAGCAAATTAACACAGAAACAGAAAACCAAATACCACGTTATCACTTATAAGCGGGAGCTAAACATTGGGTACACATGGACATAAATATGGGAACAATACACATTGGGGAATACAACAGGGAGGAGGGAGATGGGCAGGGCTGAAAAATTACCTATTGGGTACTATGCCCACTACCTGGATGATGGCTTCAATCCTACCCCAAACCTCATCATTATGCAATGTATCCTTGTAACAAACCTCCACATGTACCCCCGAATCTAAAATTAAAATTGAAATTAAGAAAATTAGTTTTTTTAAAAGAAATCAAATCCTGCTAAAATCCTTTAAGACAATGTGGTATTGGCGCAGAGCTAGACAAATAGACCAACGGAACAGAATAAAGACCTAATATAGACTGTGGAAACTTTATAAATAACAGAACTGCCTTTGCAGATCAGGGAGATTATTCAATAAAAGGCATTAAGGACTTTATTGTAAAAGGCAAAACCAAAAATTTTTGAAGAAAATATCAGAGATTATCATTATGACTTGAATTTGTGAATAATTTAGTAGGCAGGAAACAAAGAGCATAAACCATAAATAATTGGACATGTCTACATTAAAATTAATATTTTTTTTTCAAAGAAAGTGAAAAGACAAGCTACATACTGGGAAAAGAAATTTGCAACACAACTGTCAAAAGATATTCTTTATATATCCAGAATATATAAGGAAAAAGACAACCAGCCAAACAGAAAAATGAGCCAAAGATCTGAACATACACTTCACTGAAGAGGAAATCAGAACAGCCAATTAACTTAGGAAAAGATGCTCCACCACATTAGTATTCAAGAAAATGAACATTAAAACCGTAATGACCTACCAATTTTTGCCAGTTTTATAGATGAGCAAAAACTTTAAAGTCTGACAATACCAAGCTGTTGCAAGAATATGAAGTAAAAGTGTAATTTTTCTGAAGTGGTACAACCACTCTGGAAAACAATTTGACATTATTCAGTAAAGCTGATGTATATTTGTATGTGTGTGTGTGTGTGTGTGTGTGTGTGTGTGTTCTACAACCCAGCAATTTTACTTTACTTCTGTGCATATACTCTAAAGAAACTCTTGCATGTATGTACCAGGAAACATGCACAAGAATATTCATGACAACAATGTTTATAATAGCAAAAACTGAATCAACTCCAATGTTAATTGACAGGAGAGTCATTAAGGGAATACTATACACAGGACATATGAGTGAACTACAGCTACATACAGAAGCTTAGATGAATCTGATGAATATGATATTGAACAAAAAAGGCAAGTCATAGAAGAATACATACATATTATTCAATTTACAGGAAGTTCAAATATGTGCAAAACTAAATTATATATTGTTTATGGACACAGACATAGGATTATAAAGAAAGCAAGTGAATGGTGGACAAAACATTTGAGATAATGATCACTTCTACAGAGGAGGAGAGAAAAGGACTTAGGATCGGGCCCACGGGGTGCTTGTAATCTATTCATAATATTCTAGCTCTTAAGCTAGTTTCATGGGTGGATTATATCGGTGTTCATATTATAGTAATCCTTTTACAACCTTATAAATATGATCTTGTAATGGTTCCATATTTGCTAAAACAAGAAACAATGTAATTAAAGTATGTCTGGATATTGAAAACAATTTAAGGCAAAGGAAATGTTACATTTTAAAATTATTTATTGGGCCACTCATCTTCCCTGGAAACAATAATTTTAACTATGTATCAACTAACCTCTGTATACTGTTTCCTTTTTTCATTGTATTTTTTAAATTTTATTAGTTATCTCTCTTACGGCATTCTAGTACTAAAGAGGAGAGACCACGGATACTTAGTATATGGCCTTCTGCCAAAATTCTGACGCAGATTTCAAAGTTAGGACCTCCTTTACATCCGAGTGGAAACTGGTACTTGAAGGTAAAGGTTAATTCTACTAAACCTAATATAAAGTTTAATTTAAATCTATTTTTAAGTCATTGTTGGTCTGTGTATCATAAAGAAGGCACAGATAGGTAAGGGACAGAAAGCTGGAAGAGATTAATTAAAATAGGGAAGAAACACTTAAGATCTACCTCTTGGAAAATTTCAAGTATACAATACCGTATCGTTAACTTTAGTCCTTACCTTTAGTCATTAAAGTTATCATTAACTTTAGTGTTGTACATTAGGGTCTCTAGAAAGTATTCGTTGTGCATAACTGAAACTTTGTACCTCTTGACTAACATCTGCCCATTTCCCATTGCCCCCAGCCCCTGGCAACCACTATTCTACTCTCTCCTATGAGTTTGACTATTTTAGAGTTCATATATAATTGAGATCATGCAGTTTTTAATTTATAATGTATGCTTGTATCAAGTTATACATCTTTAATATATGCAATTTTAAATTGTCAATTATACTTCAATAGAGTTGGAAAAAATAAGAAAGACATTGTTATTATTAGAAAAAAGTAATACATTTGTCATATTCCAAAAAATAAAAAACAGGGAGGTCAAGTCATGAGTGGCTGTGTCAGATGGGCTGGGCCTTGACTGCGCTCGCCACGGAATTGGAAATTTAAGATAAAGGTGCACTAAAACTGAAGGACAAATTTAAAGGGCCATTCTAATTCTGGATTCTGATAACATGTCAGAATAGGCAAGCAAACTTTAAAGACTCAGAGCCAGAGATCAAGCCAAAATTTGGACAGCAAGAGTCAGGTATCCTGGCAAGGGAGTAAGGGAGCTGGTCAGAATTCAGCCAAGGATAAGGGAAAAGGTCATAGAACACTAGCAGCTTCTTGCTACATTAGGTGTCCTTATACCTCTTGCCAAACATAGAAACTGGGCTAAGTGAAGCTGCTCCTTGAAAATGGGAGATATTACTGGCATTACTTTTATTACAAGATATATATAGATATTGAGCTGCAAACGAAGGCCCAGTGACAGCCTTGGCTGACCCACAGGCAGTTCCGGAGTTAGAGGAGCCAGAATGGCCCTTTAAATTTGTCCTAAGTTGGGTTGAGATGGTCAGGCCTTTATATTTATGCCTCCATCACTGGCTGAGGGCCAACCTGGGAAGGAACGTGATCTTGGCAGCTGTCTACAGCAAGGCAGTCCCTGCAGGGGACTGACAGCTGAAGGCTCTCTGCCAGAAGCACTCCCAGCAGCTGGGGACAAGTCCATTACTGCAATGGGACTCTAGCTCATCACAGTGTCCTTAATACCATATAAGTCCTTCTTGGAGTCATAATCTTGTCAAATTTTACTTTTCTGTAAACTAATAGCTTCATAATATTCCTGAAGGAATTCTTTTGATACCTACTTATCACATTTGAATTATTTCATTAGCTTTTTAAAATGTTACTAACATTGACTGAATTTATTTATAAGATTTAGAAATAACATATAATGTAAATTATCCTACAGATAACTGCCTTAAATTTAGATGGACAACATCTTTTTGAAATCACAAATTTAGAAAAATTGGAAAATTTGAAATGGGCATCATTCAGCAATAATAATCTCACTAAAATGGAGGGTCTGGAATCCTGTATTAACTTGGAAGAGCTCACATTAGATGGAAACTGCATCTCAAAGATAGAAGGTAAGGTACTTAAGAACTTTGAAGTCTCAAAATATGGATGTCTAAACAACAAAGCAAAAAATAACCCTGAGAACAGAGTTTCTGAAGAGGAAGATCTCTAGGAAAGTTCCAAGTTTTGTGGCAGAGTATTCTAAATACCTGCGTGAGGTAATACAACTATTAGTTAGCTATATTGGACCATTCTACTATATATATATACACTTCAAAACATCATGTTGTACAAGATAAATAGATACAATATTATCTGTCCAATTAAAAAATAAAAGATAAATAAAAAATTAAAACAAGTTCATACCTATTCATGGAATTTGTGACTATTTTACTTTATATGAGCCCAGCAAGCTGACTTTCATCTCCTGTGCCTTCTCTCTCCTCTCCTCTGTGCTAGTTTATAATCTGTTACCAAACACTAGCACATACCAACTAGTTAGTCATTAACGTCTGTAAAGTTGAATGCACAAATGAATGAGGTATGCTTTTGAAAAAGATGAAGCAGACTAGTTCTGTTTTAAAAATATAAAATTAAGGTTATATTTGGAAATTTGAATACTTCAACAAAAAATGAAAATTATACTCATTAGAGGTTGAAAATAAAATATACTATATGTAACCTTTTCCATGGATCCACATACAAGTCCAATTAAGCAGCTTTAGTAATATCTTAATAATAATGATACCAATATAACATATTTTATTTGACTGTTTAAAGTTCAGTGTTAAAACATATTTTTCTGAACCAGAGAGAAAAAGACTTTTCCTCCCTTTCCCCTTCCACGCTTCTTAGATTCTTCTCTTCATTTGGATTTATGCTTATCTACAGCTAAATATCATGAGTTTAGAGAACGTGTCCCAGAATACATACTACCAAGTCAAGTATTTTCTGACTCCTCCCCAGCTTTATTTTATTCTTACCTTCATTAGAAAGAAATTGAAGGAAGCTTTCCATGACTTGCTACCAACTTTCTTTTATTCTCCCTCTCCATCTACTCAAAAGAGTAACTAACGCCTAGAAATTAAAAAATATTTCCACAAGTGTGCACTATTTGATTGAAAAGAGAAATATGTATATGTGTATACAGACATACACTTATCTGAATAAAGAATATTTCTGTATGTGCATTTTGGTAACATGGTTGTGTTTGTCAAGGAGAGAAGGTAAGAATTAGAAATCATGGCTGGGAAAGGGAATTTATACTTTATTCATTTTCGAATTGGATTATTTTTAGCATGTATATATACTACATTTTTCATAAAATAGAAGATTTGATTTCAAAAAATTGTATATATACAAGCAAGTATTAAATATATCTAAGAAAGCATACATAACATTTGTTAAATATTTCATTTTAATGGTTGTTAACAATATGTTTCTAAAACTTTCTTGATCATGAGAATCACTTGGGATACTTATTGAAGACACAGATTCACAGGCCTCTCTTCTGTAGATTTCAGTAGAGTAAACTTAGGGGTAGCTCAGGCACCTGTGTCTAGAACTATCACCAGTCTCCCATTCCCCTACAGCTGGGTATTAGTTTTGCTTTGTACATAACAATTAAAAACCCTATTTCCTTTTCATTTCCTTCCATAAACTTGTTAAACAGAAGAATCTTCCAATCTGTATTTTTCTTACACCTACATTTTGGAGAAGATAGCTACCCCTCTAAACTTTAACAGGAGTTTCTCCTTTTTTTTCACACATGGGTAGGTTCCATATCCATTTGATGATTTTTGCTCTGATGGCTTTGATCCTGTCTTGCCCTGGATTGATTCACCTTCAACATTGTACAGTCCCACAATAGGAACTAATGTGAAAGGGACCACAGATAATTATTTGATACTTCCCAAACATTATTCCATTTAATTTCATAACTCCTTGGAAGTATGGAGTTTCATAACTCCTTGGATGAGGAAATTAAGGCTCAGCAGTTACATAATTTATGTATCACCACAAACCTAGTAGTGATACATTTGAAGCCAACTAGGATTCCGAAGTTCTTGTCTTTCAACTGCACCATCCTGGCTATACTTATAAAGTGCTTGCAGTACATAATGTACGCAGGAGTTAGACTGGTCCTATTTTCTAAACTTCCATCTTAGAGTACTTTTAGGCATATGAAAGTAAAATTAGGCTAAATCGTTCATTTTAATACAAATGATGCACTTTCCAGAATGTGGTTCCTTCCCCTTAATGTTTAAAAATGAGGGCTGGTGATTATTTTCAGCTTTGTGTAGAGCTTTTTGTTTTCAAAATGGTGAAAATCTTAATTAATTACATCATTTTAAGGTTATTTGAAAGAGAAATTCAATATGTTCATGTAATGCCTTTCCTTAACTCCTAAGAAGAAGGAATCTACTTAGAAATACAAAATTTGAATTTGATGTTTGAGATGGGGCTTATATACAAGATTATATTCTTCCAAAACAAAGGGAAAAGCAATATGGTTAGTATTACACAATCTTTAAAGCCATTTGCACCTAGCTATTTGATTACAATAAAATGACCAGCCAGTTATTTTTTAAATTAACCCTTTAGTGTTACCTGGATCTTTTCTTGAATTTGCTTATTTTTCTAGGTATTTCTAAGATGACTAAATTAACTCGCCTCAGCATAAATAATAATCTTCTCACTGGTTTGGAACAGCATACCTTTGATAATATGCTTCATCTTCACTCCCTTTCTCTTGAGAACAACAGAATCACTTCATTGAGTGGTTTACAAAAATCTTTTACTCTTGTTGAGTTATACATAAGCAATAACTATATTGCTGTCAATCAGGAGATGTACAATTTAAAGGTAATTATCTGGGGTAGTAATTTTTTTGTTTTTTAAAATATGTATTGTTTCTTTATATTATGAAAGTAATGCATATTTACTGCACAGAATTTGGAAAATATAAAGAAAATAAAAATAAGAATAACAAGGTTATTAAAATGTATTTGCATTCAATTTTGTATACATACAAATATATATCTGTGTATACATAATGTCCCCATTTGCTATCCTTCTGGGGTAACTTTTTTTAATACTCAAGTGTGATAAACCAAACCTATTCCTCCTAACTAGTGCCTTCTTCATATTTCCAGGGATTCTTTAGCATTCTCCAGTTCTCAGTACAATTCTTGATGATCTCTCACTGTTCTCTTACCAGTGGCTCAAATTCGGTCACCTTTGCTCAGATTTGCTTTCTTTAATTCCCCCAAAGAAACCACTAATTTAAGGCTATTGTGTAATAGGATTTACTAAAGGTTTGAACAAAACATAGGGTTTCTATAGCACAGAACAATAATCTACTTCAAATGTCATGTTTGACTTCATTGTTTCTAAAGTTCAGTGGCCATTTTCTAACACTATGGGTCTTACACTGGCCTCTCCTTTTGCTGATACAATATTACTAGGACTTTATCTCCTACCAAAAACTTGTGTCCATTTCCTGTCTTTTCTTAATTCAGACTTCTCCCCATTCTATTCCCCCAATATAATTACTACTTATAGAGCTAGGGAGGCAACCTAATCAACAACACCAGCAACACAATAAGCCATTTCACATTATGATGCACAGTAGTTTTACTCCCTCTTGTCTTCACCTCTCCCTTCCATACCTACCAAGACCCTTCCTTCACAACAAAGGCATATCAAAGTGTCTTGTCTAATAAAACAGCACATTTCCCTTAGGATGAATTCTACTACCCTCTCAGAAAGTAGAAGCAGTTCAGTTTCATCGCTTTTCAAAAAGCAGTGTCTTTTATTCCTGTTATATCTATATAGACACATACATCCATTTATTAAGCCATTATTCCATAAACAAAGTGTATTTGTCTTGAACATAGCAAAGTTCCCTCTAAGCCCTTACCATTAATAGATAATACATTTGGCACTAGTATCCTAAAAGAGACTCTGATTTTATAACATAGACCATTGAAATATTGCACAGAATTATACCTTAGTGGTCTGAAAGGGTAACGCTTGCTCTTAAAAGTGTACTTAGGCTGGGTATGGTGGCTTATGCCTATAATTTCAGCACTTTGGGAGGCCATGGTGGGAGGATCACTTGAGCCTAGGAGTTTGAGGTTGCAATGAGCTATGATCTGACCCACTGCACTCCAGCCTGAGCAACAGCATAAGACCATGTCTAAAAAAAAAAAAAAAAAGTACTTAAAAGCACTGAAATCCCATGGAAAGATAGCTAATATAATTCCAATATTAAAATTTGAGGATGGCTAACCACTTACTAGAGTGCTTTAAATATACATATAGATAAATATATGTATTTTATTACCTAGGGTTTATGCAACTTGGTCATTCTAGACATGTGTGGAAACATTATTATATGGAATCAAGAAAACTACCGGTTGTTTGTAATATTTCATCTTCCAGAACTGAAAGCTTTGGATGGGATATCAATTGTAAGTTGTTTTATGACTCATAACATTTGGTCTAAGCTGCAGTCACATAGTCATAGGACATAGTCATTTTGAACATTGCTTTATCACTAGCATGATAGCCAAATTTACTATACTTGTAATCTAAGTCTCCAAAGCTTATTTTAGATCTGGATTTTTAAATTTTGTCATCTGGTCAATTCTTAATTGTCCGAATTGTGGTGGAAGGGGAGGGTTGTGCTGCTTACAATAGAACCCATTGAATTCAGTGCCTAAAAGGTAAAGAACACAATTTTATGGGGCAAGATAGAAAAATTATGCACTGGAGCTTTACCATCCTCTTAAGCCTAAAAGCAGCTTTCTATTTTCAGTGAAAATATAGTTGCTAATATTAATAATTAATAAAAATATATTTGAACCAACAAACGTGGTATGTCAACATTACTAAGTAAGCTGTAAAGAAAACCAGACACAGACCCTAGGACTGAATGTGAAAGCAACATTTGGATACTTGGATTCTATAACGAGCAAATTCATAGGGCTCCTGTTTTCCACATAACAGGGTAAATGCGTGACAAATGTGTAAAGAGTAAAAGGTTTCCCTGTGTAATGTTGCCTAGCTCCTATCAGAGAAGAAAACACATCAAATTTTCTAGAAAATTGAAAGATAGTTCATTATCATTTAGTATTCTGAGGTACTCCAAGAAGATTACTAATCCTAACCCTTCTGTTTTCTGGACCCTCCTCAGAATGGGTCACTAAAACTTTCTCACTCCAACACATACAAATTCCCTAGAACCTTGTATACTGGGCTTTATTTAGTTGTTAGCTTTCACTGAAGAATGTTTTTTAAAATACTCCTATAAGACCAGTACTACATTTACTCTAAAGATGTTGAGGATCTTATCTGTCCTATCTCTCTGTGACCTCATTTGAAGGGCCACATGAGAAAGCACTTATAGAAATAAATGTAAGAAAAACATTTACCCCTAAGGAAAAGTTACGTTCTGCTCACTGACAATGAGTGTATTAGTCTCAACTCATGCTACTAAAAAGACATATCCAAGACTGGGCAGTGTTTAAAGGAAAGAGGTTTAATGGACTTACAGTTCCACATGGCTAGGGAGGCCTCACAATCATAATGGAAGACAAAGGAAGAGCAAAGTCATAGTAGCAGGCAAGAGAGCATGTGCAGGGGAACTCCCCTTTATAAAACCATCTGATCTCATAAGACTTATTCACTATCATGAGACAGCATAAGAAAAACACAACCCCATGATTCAATTACCTCCCACTGGGTCCCTCCCATGACATGTGGGGATTATTACAATTCAGGGTGAGATTTGGGTGGGGACACAGAGCCAAACCGTATCATTCCACCCCTGGCCCCTCCCAAATCTCATGATCTAACATTTCAAAACCAATCATGCCTTCCCAACGGTCCCCCAACTTATTTCAGCATTAGTTCAAAATTCCACAGTCCAAAGTGCGAGCTGAGACAAGTCAAGTCCGTTCTGCCTATGAGCCTGTAAAATCAAAAGCAAGTTAGTTACTTTCTAGATACTATGTGGGTACAGGCATCAGGTAAATACACCCATTCCAAATGGGAGAAATTGGCCAAAACAAAGGGGCTACAGGCCCCATGCAAGTCCAAAATCCAGTGAGGCAGCCAAGTCTTAAAGCTCTGAAATGATCTCCTTTGACTCCATGTCTCACATCCAGGTCACGCTAATGCAAGAGGTGGGCTCCCACAGCCTTAGGCAGCTCCACTCCTGTGGCTTTGCTGGATACAGCCTCCCTCCCAGCTGCTTTCACAGGCTGGCATTGAGTGTCTGTGGCTTTTCTAGGTGCACAGTGCAAGCTGTGGGTGGATCTACCATTCTGGGGTCTGAAAGACGGTGGTCCTCTCCTCACAGCTCCAATAGGCAGTGCCCCAGTGGGGACTCTGTGTGGGGTCTCCCACCCCACATTTCTTTTTGGCACTGCACTAGCAGAGGGCAGCAGGCTTCTGCCTGGACATCTAGGCATTTCCATACACCCTCTGAAATCTAAGCAGAGGTTCCCAAACCTCAATTCTTGACTTCTGTGTACCCACAAGACCAACACCATTTCAAAGCTGCCAAGGCTTGGGGCTTGCACCCTATGAAGCCATGGCTTGAGCTATATATTGGCCCCTTTTAGCCATGACTGGAGTGACTGGGACACAGGGTACCAAGTCCCCAGGCTGCATACAGTAGGGGGGCCCTGGACTGCTCCAGGAAATCATTTTTTCCCTCCTAGGCCTCCAGGCCTGTGATGGGAGTGGCTGCCATGAAGGTCTCTGACATGCCCTGGAGACATTTTCCCCATTCTCTTGGTGATTTGCATTTGGCACCTTGTTACTTATGCAAATTTGTGTAGCTAGCTTGAATTTCTCCCCAGAAAATGGGTTTTTCTTTTCTACTGCATCATCAGGCTGCAAATTTTTCAGACTTTTATGCTTTGCTTCCTCTTGAACACTTTGCTACTTAGAAATTTTTCACCAGATATCCTAAATCATCTTTCTCAAGTTCAAAGTTTCACAGATCTCTAGGGCAGCGGCAAAATGTCACCAATCTTTTTGCATAGCAAGAGTGACCTTTAATCCAGTTCCCAACAAGTTCCTTATCTCCATCTGAGACCACCTCAGCCTGGACCTTATTGTCCATATCGCTATCAGCATTTTGGCCAAAACCATTCGACAAGTCTCTAGGAAGTTACAAACTTTCCCACATTTTCCCATCTTCTTCTGAGCCCTCCAAACTGTTCCAACCTGTGCCTGTTACCCAGTTCCAAAGTCACTTCCACATTTTTGGGTATCTTTACAGCAGCACATGACTCTACAATTTACTGCATTAGTCTGTTCTCATGCTGCCAATAAAGACGTACCTGAGACTGTGTAATTTATAAAGGAAAGAAGTTTAATGGACTTACAGTCCCACATGGCTGGGAAGGCTTCACAATCATGGCAGATGAAGGAAGAGCAAAGGCAGGTCTTACATGGTGGCAGGCAAGACAGCATGTGCAAGGGAACTCCCCTTTATAAAAGTATCAGATTTCATGAGACTTATTCACTATCATGAGAACAGCACAGGAAAAACCCACCCCCGTGATTCACTTAGCTCCCACTGGGTCCCTCCCACAACAGGAGGGGATTATTACAATTCAAGATGAGATTTTGGTGGGAACACAGAGCCAATCCATATCAATGAGTATTATTTAATTATATTCCTTTTCACTTTACCTAAAAGCTCAGGACCAAATTTATGATTCAATAATATAAACCGTATAGGATCTTATAGTCTTTTTGTCACTAATCCTAGTGAGCTTGATTTTCATTATGTTTGATTTGCATTTTACTCTTTGATTATATGTGTTTCCTGTAAGCTGCCACAAATTATTTGTGGAATGAGGCAAAATATAAATGTATGAATTAATAATTGGACATCTTGAAGACTAGACTGAAGAATTTAGATTTTAAATGCAAGGTAATGGGAATGCATTGGATTTGAAGGGCAAGGGAAAGGAAGACTGAAAGATGTCTACAAGGTTTGAGTCTTTGCCAATAAAAGACACCATAACGGAATATGAATATAGGAAGAAAAGCAATTTCGGGGTGTAAGATGATTAGTATTGGACTTTAGTTTTATATGGAGATCATCTGACTGGAGATGTCAAGCAGGCAGTTGAAATCACAGGATTAAATTTGCATATGAAAATTTACTTTACATATGTTTGGACTTGAATGTAATTTGAAGACAGTTAACAGTTAAGACCAAAAGCATATGCAATATCGTCTAATGGAAGAGAGTAGAGAAAGAAAAGAAATCTAAGTGAGGCTCTAATACTTGCATTTATTAAACATATGTAGAAAAAGAAGTCATGAAAAGTGGGTGCAGAGGTAGGTAATACAGTAATATATAATGCTAGAGTGTCTGAGATATAAATAGACTTTGGAAATGGCATAGTCAAAATCTTTTATTTTATGTATGAACACAAGCAACTCTAGAGAAGTTACATGACTTCTTCCAAATTATATGACTGTTTAATGGTAAATCATAGGCACATGAGCCTCATTCTCTGTCCAACACTCTCTAGATATATAATTACATTGTCTTCTTTGGAGTGGGAGTAGAAACCCAGGGAGGGCATAGACTAGGAGGAACCGAAGAATGATTTGGGTAGTTGTGTTTTCATTTTATCTTTTGTTCCCACATACTTTTATTTTTTAAAGATTATTTTTTGCATTAAGGATACATATTCTCAATTTAGATATGAAGTTTTAACAGAGTAGAAAAAAAGAAAGGAGTTTGAGTAAAAGTAGATCAAATGATTTACCAGTTTTATTTAGATGAAGTTCAAACCATTTGTCTGAAATAGATTGTCAACAATAGCCCTTGGGCCAAATGTGACCTGCCACTTATTTTTGTAAATAAAATTTTATTGGAACACATCCATGCCTGTTTGTTTATATATAGTCTATGACTGCTTTCACACTGCAGTGGCAAAATTAAATAGTAACAGAGAAGCTAGTGTTCCCAAAGGCTAAAATATTGACTGACTCTTTACAGGAAAACTAGAAAACATTTACCAATCCCTGATTTAGGAGGACACTAATCATATGTTGCTTGTATAATTATGAAAAACACAAAAGCAATGGTATTTCTAAGGCTGAATTAATGTTTTTAAAACTTATTTTGAGATTTTATTATTGAAGATTCAACAAGAGAAACAGAACTAGTAAGACAGATATACATATAGAGATATCTATGTCTATATATAGATATATACATATCAAGAAATATTTAATAATGGAGGGGACTGCCTAAACAAGTCTGAAATCCATAGGACAGGCCATCAGGAAGCGAAGATTATGGGCAGGCTGGGGCTCACAGGCATAGATGAAAGCTGCTGTCCATGAGTGGATTTTCTTCAGGAAAATTCTTTCTTTCAGGAACCTCACCTCTGCTTTTAAAGCCTTGCAATTGTTTGAATCACGCCCATCCAGATTGTTCAAGATGATCTCCTTATTGAAAGTCAGCTTGCTAGGAGTTTTAATTATGTCTACAAAATTCCTTCACAGCAATACCTACATCATTGGCTAAAATAACTGGGGACTCTAGCTTCAAATATTTTGCAGCTCTGTTGTTGGTACATACACATTTAAGACTGTTATGTCTTCTTGGTGGACTGACCCTTTTATCAGTAGGTAGTGTCCCCTCTGACTCTGGTAATTTCCTTTGCTTCAAAGTTTACTTTATCTGAGGTTAATGAAGCCACTCCTGCTTTCTCTTGATTAATGTATAGGATATCTTTTTCTGTTCTTTTACTTTCAACCTGCATATATTATATTTGAAGTGAGTTTCTTGTTGACAACATACAGTTGGATCATGTTATCTTTAGCTAATTTTTATATTTTAATTGATGAACAAAGGCCATTTATATTTAATATAGTTAACTGACCTGTTAGGGCTTAAGTCTGCCACTTTGTTTTCTTGTTTTATATTTGTTTCCTTTGTTTATCTTTCTTCTGTTTTCTTTTTTTGTGCCTTCCCGTGAGCTTCTTGAACACATTTTGAAATTCTATTTTTATTTATCCATAGTGTTTTTTGGTGTATCTCTCCATATAGTTTTTTTTAGTGGTTGTTCTAAGTATTACAATGCATATACATACTTTATTATAGTCTGTTAGGGTTGACATTTTACCAGTTTGAGTAAAGTGTAGAAATGTTACTTTCCTTTCAGTCTATTTATTCTCCCCTGTTTATATTTTCACTATATACATTGAGAACCAATGAGACAATATTATAGGTTTTTTTTACATCAACTAATCAAAGATAATTTAGAAAAATCAAGAAAAGAAGGGAAGTTTATTAATACTCTTTCCATTGTGCTTTCCTCTTTCCTGGCATTCCAAGATTCCTTTCTTTTCCTTTCCATTTCAAGAACTTTCTTTAGTCATTTCTTAAGGTAGGTCTGCTGGTAACAGTTTGCTTAGTTTTCCTTCCTTTGAGAATGTCTTGCTTTCTCTTTTTATTTCTGAATGATATTTTCCCTGGATATACAATTCTGGGTTGATGTTTCTCTTTCACCACTTGAAAATGTTGTGCCACATCCTCTGGTTTCCATGCTTTCTGATTAGAAATCTGCTGTCACTCACATTGTTTTTCCCTCACAGGTAAGATTTAATTCCTCTGTCACTTTTTTCATGCCTTTTTTCTCTGCCATTAGTTTTTAGAAATTTGATTCTGATTATTATTACGTGTCCTTGCATGGATTTGGGTTTTTTTCCCATCTGAGGTTTGATTAGATTCTTAGCTTCTTGGTTTATGTCTTTTGCCAAATTTGGAAGATTTTTGGTTATAATTTCTTCAAATACTTTTTCAGCCCCACATTATTTCTCTCCTTTTTCTATGAATCTAGTGATACTAATATTAAATCTTTTGTATGGTTCCACAAGTACAGGATATGTCTGTCTTGGTAAAGTGAGGCTCATTTATTTATGGGTCTATTTTCTCTCTTTTGTTCATACTGGGTAATTTCTATTGTTCTGTCTTCACGTTATTTTTTTCTCTTTTCTCTCCATTCTGCTATTGAGTCCCTATCCATTGCATTTATTTGTTTATAGTATTTTTCAATTCTAAAATTTTCATTTCATCCTTCATATCTTCTATTGCTTTGCTATCACTTATCTCTTTGCTAAAGGTTTCTGTTTTTTCATTTGTTTCAAGTATGTTCATAATCACTTGTTGAGCATTTTTCCTTTGACTGCTTTGAAATGCCTGTCAGACAATTAAAAATATTTGTATCATTTCAAAGTTGGCATCTGTCGATTGTCTTTTCACATTCAAGTTGAGATGTTATTGGTTCTTAGCATGACATATTTTTTATTTTATTCTGGACATTTGGGGTATTACGTGGGTCTTATTTAAATCTATTTTAGCAAGCCTCCCCTTGACACTATACCAGTGAGAAGATGGGGAACCACTTCGTTGCTGTCAGGTGGGAGATAGAAGTCCAAGTTCCTCCATGTGGCCTCTGTTGACAACCTGGAGGTGTGTTCTTCATTAACTGCTAGGCTAGAGTAGGAGTTCATGCTCCCCACCAGACTTCCATTGATTTACTCGGGCTGGGAAGGAAGGAACTCCTTGTTACTATTTCCCTCCACTGATTCATCCTGGCTGGGAGAGACAGGAACACCTAATTGATGCTCCGCAGATAACTCATTATGAGTGGGTGGAAGTGGGAATCCAGACTCCCCATGTTATCTACAATAACACTTGCAGGTAGGGAGTGGGGCCATGTGTTACTGCTGATGGGGGATGAAAGTCCAGGTTCCCACTCAGCAGGTGGATAATGGAGAAGTGCCTTGTTACAAATGAGCACAGGTTAAAGTCTAAGCAGCCCATTCTGCTTTTACTTGTGGGCATGAAGTTGGGGCCACAGTTTATTCTGTAGGGTTTAGCAGGAGTAGGCTTGTTATTGTCTAAAGTTTTCTGCTGTGCTAGGCTTCCCCTTTCCTGATCCTTTGACTAGAGACAGTAGGCTTTTTGCGTACTTTGTCTTGTTTTTTTCTTATTGTCATTTCTGGGTTTCTAGCTTCTCTAGCACCCAGTAGAGAAGGTGAGGCAAAAAGAAAATCCAGGGTGTCATTCCTCAGGTCCTGAGGTACCTACCTGGTCTGCTGCCTTCTCCACATCTTTCAGTATTCATATGTTGGGTTTTAATTTTTTTAATTAAAAAATTTTTTAGAGACAGGGTCTCACTCTGTCACCCAGACTGGAATCCAGTGGCATGATCATAGCTCACTGCAGCCTCTGAACTCCTGTGCTCAAGACATTCTCTGGCCTCAGCCTCCCACATAGCTACAACTACAGGCATGTGCCACTGTGCTTGACTAATTCTTTTTTGCTTTTGTAGAGACAGGGTCTCACTTTGTTGCCCAGCCTCATCTCGAACTCCTGGACTCAGGCAATCCTCCCACCTTGGCCTCCCAATGTGCTGGGATTATAGGTATTAGCCACCTTGCCCTGCATATGTTTGTTTTATATATAATGCACAGGATTTAGTTCTACTTAGTAGGAGGAATCTGGAAAAATAAGTCCACTGAATTTTTACCTGAAATCAGAGAACTACATAATTTAGTCATCTGTAAGACAGGACATCATTTTGTAAATGCCTTCATATAGGAACCACCAGAGACTGAGAATGCAAAAGATTTGTTTGGTGGTAGACTTACTTCTGACATGATTGCAGAACGACAAGGACATTCCAACTTCGTGCAAATGCAAGAACTAAATTGGACTTCATCATCCATTAGGTACAATCATTTTATTATATGCCTTTTTACATTATAATTACATTATGTAATTATCATTTTTCTGAAGCTTATAAATGTATACATCTTATATAAATATAATCAATAACTCATAAAATTATCTACTGTACTGCAAAGGTTCATGCTAAGTAATGCGTGTTTTTTAAGATGGGGTCTCAAAAAATGGCTCACTGCAGCTTCAACCTTGCAGGTTCAATCGATCCTCCTACTATAGGCACATACCACCAAGCATGGCAAATTTTCTTTGTACTTTTTGTGGAGACAGCATTTATGCCATCTTGCCAGGCTAGTCGCCGATCATGGGCTCAAGTGGTTCACCTGCCTCAGTCTCCCAAAGTGCTGGGATTTCAGGTGTGAGCCACTGTGCCCAGCCTAAAATTAAAAATTCCTTTGTATGGCATAAAAGACTCTTTATTATCTGTCCATTATTATCTATTGTAGTCCTTTTCTTTACTGCCCATGACACTTCATATTTCAGGAATTCTGAAATATTCTAGTTACTGAATCTCAATCATAAGATATTTTTTCATGTTTGTTTCTGCCTTTGTTTGTACCTGTTGCACTGCCTAGAACTCTTTTCTGCTAATTTGCTCGACAAATACCTACAAATGTTCCAAATATCATCTCAAGATCTTTCTGCTCCATGCTACAGATTTTATTTCCCCAAAATGCCATTACATTGGTATGATAGAGATGCTAACTCTATCATAGCAATTCTCCTCTTTATTTTCATTTTTCTGGCTCCCTCTTCTTGGGGGCTGAAACGTTTCTTTCATCCTTCTTGTAGCCTTTCCAAACACATTCGCTGCACTTAGGAAATACTAATGAAATTATGTTGAATGAATGAATAACTTATTAATGGGTAAAAGTATGTCATAATTGTAACTTCAAGTTTAGGATTTGTTTAGAGAACTGGTTAGGGAAAGGGATGTAGTTTTATGTTCTTCTCTGTCATGGCTCAAATGAAGATATAGCTATGGACTGTGAATCAAGCATTCTGTTTAATTACCAAAATGTTCACACAGGGTGGAATGCAATAAAGGTTTCCAGAAGATCTCACAGAAACTCTTATTTTCAAAGCCCTTACCTGCTTTTCCTTTCCTTTCCCATCCCCAGCCACTTCCTGGTATTTCAGAAATGACCTGCTTCATATATATCATCTGAAGTTTATAACCTGAAAATCTTATGATTTACTATATCAACTTCACTATGATTTCATGAACATATATGTGAATTTATAAAGAAAGTGGAATATCTCTTTTACAAGTTTCTTCTATAATAGTGCTATGTTTATATGGTAATAGATTTTTTTTGAAAGCAACCAAATTCTATGTCACTTTCTTGCATAAGTATCCAACCAAAATGTATATTCAGCTAATCATTTAACCAATTCATTTTACATTAAAGTAATTATTTTTATATTTGTCAGGTGAGACTATTTTTAATGTCTTTGGTGGCTATATGTGAAGGAACTCACCTTTTCCTATATTTTCCTGTCCTATTAAAATAGTAACTGTATTTGTCTAAATTCAGAACAGTGGATTTGATTCCAGTCGACCAATTTAGAAATGTATGTAATGTGAATCTACAGAACAATAATCTTACTTCATTCAGTGGATTAATCTATCTACCTAATGTGAAGGTGAGTCATTCACAAATTTTTCTTTCTTTCAAGGTTTCCAATGCAAGTTTTATCTTCTTTACTTTGGATTAAATGATATTTCCACATTATTAAAGTAGATAAATTATTCCTAAATTTTCTTTGGGTTTTTTTTGTTTGTTTTTTTACTGAGCAAGAAAAAAACTATTACCTTCCAAAGTGATTTTGCTTTGACCTCAGTTTTATGTGATTGTCACATATGTAGTAAATTTTCCTCTGTAGTCAGAGATGGGATTGAAGGCAGACATGGAAAGAAGTTTCTAGGTTCTTTAAATGGCCTTATTGCCTCCTTTATTATTTCCTTGACTCAGCCATCTACTAAGGCCTTTTAAACATAGATAAATAGCTGTCTCTTCGACTAAAAATTATTTCATCCTTGTCAGGTTTGGAGAAATCAGGAGTACAGATTGAGAAAGCTGAGGAGCTTTCTAGAGTCTCCATGTGAAGTATTGTAATTTCCCAGAATGTCAGATTAAAAACACATTCAAAACTAAGTCTAGATTATTTAGGATATAAACATTTGTTGTTTTAGCACTAATATATTATTAAATTATGTGGTATATGCCAAGTTTTATCCATACAATTTTTAATAATTTCCAGGATTTCTGATTAATAAGATATTCTTTCTGTAGGTCTTATGCCTCAACTATAATCATATTGAATCAATCATGCCCAGACTAAAGCCTCAGACTCACTTAACCAATAGACAACTACTGTACCAGAAAGTGCCTTCAAGTGGCTATGGACAGCAAGGAATTTCAAAAACAAACAGGTAGTATTCTTTATTTTTATGATTATAACTAATTTTGGCTGGGAATTTTAAAAGCAGTTAATCACATTAATGATAGCAGTAACACATTCCAGTACATAACATTTAGCTTATTGTAATACCTATTTTATTTATAGCTACATGCCAAAAATAAACTTCATAAATAAAAAGATACTCAAAATGTTTCTCTCATTGTTTATTCCCTGCCTTCTCCATTTCAAACCTGTATTGTGAACAAAGGGAAAAAAACAAAAAACAAACAAACAAAAGGCCTTGTACTACATGTTTGGTGACCTTGGGTTTCTTTTTTAAAAATTGAGGTACAATTCACATACCATAAAACTCACCCTGTGTGTACAATTTAGCAATTTTTAGTTTATTCATCATAAACATTTTTATCAACCCACAAAGGAACCCTATACACAGTAGCATGGAAATGGGATTTTTTTTTTAGCATTTGTTTTGCTTTTATTTCTAAATTATTTATCTGGTCACTTAATGACTCAGCACCAATGGAATATATACTTTACGCAAAAAATGAAGACAAACCTTCCACCTCCTTACATATTTTGATAGAACATATATATATCATATCATATAATACATATCATATATATGATATATATATTTATAATGTGTATCTCCAAATCAGAATACTTTCATTCCAGTTTTCCCAATAAAGAACATTCCTTGTGCCTTTTATTACCTCTATCAAAGTATAATTTCCATGCAACAAAATTGACCAATTTAAGTGTAAAGTTTAATGAATTTTGACAAATGTATGCAATCATAAAACCTCTACCACAATCAAAATACAAAGTATTCCCATTCCAAAAAGTTCATTTGTAATCCCTCCCCTGACACCCTGGCACCTGGCAACAACCACTAATCTGCTCTCTTGCTGTAATTTCGCCTTTTTCTAGAATTTCATATAATTGGAATTATGTAGTAAGTAGTTTTTGTGTCTGGCTCCTCTTACTTAGCATAATGCTTTTGAGATTCATTCATTTTGTTGCAAGTGTTAGTAATTTATTTCATTTTATTGCCAAATAGTATTCTATTATATGTATTATATGACAAGTTATTTATGCTTTTATCATTGATGAACATTTTGGTTGTTCCTAATTTTAGGCTATTATGATTAAAGCTACTATGAACATTTCATTTATATACATACTTTTTTGGATCCTATTCATATTTGATTTTTCTAATAGTTTTATTGAAGTGGCAGTTTATGTATCATGTTTACTTATATTAAATGTATAATTCAATAATTTTACTAAATTTATAGTTGTATAATCATAACTGCAATATAATTTCATAACATTTTCCATCTCACCAAAAAGATCCTTCATGTCTATTTATAGTCAATTTCCTTTCCCACCTCTAGTCCCAAACAACCTCTAATCTGTTTTCTAGAATTGTATTTTTCTAGACATTGCATATAAATGGAACTATAAAATAGGTGGTCTTTTGCCTCTGGCTTCTTACACTCAGCATGTTTTCAAGGTTCATTCACATTATAGAATGTGTTAGTAGTTCACTCCTTTTTATTGCTGAATATATTGGCTATTTCACTATGGATATGACTATATGGATATGTTACATAATGTTTATTCATCAGTTGATGGAAATTTGGATTGTTTCCACTTTTTGACTGGTTTGAATAACACTGCTTTAAACACTTGTGTACAAGTATTTGTGTGCACTCATATTTTCATTGTGTTTATTTTGGGTAGATACCTATGCATGGAATGGTTGGGTCATATGGTAACTTAACATTTAGCTATTTAAGAAACTGCTAAACTGTTTTCCCAAATGGTTGCACCATTTTTCATTATCACCAGCAGCATATGAAAATTCTAATTCCTGCACATCTCTGCCAGTGCGTGCCTGTCTTTTATAGTATAGCCATTCTAATACATTCGAAGTGGTATCTCATTGTGGTTTTAATTTGTATTTTCCTAATGACAAATAGTGTTGAGCAGTTTTTCATATGCTTATTAATCATTCATGTATCTTCTTTGGTAAAATCTCTATTCAAATCTAAAACCTAAAAAACCTAATTGTTTAATTAGGTTGCTTGGCTTTTCATTATTAAGTGTCTTTATACTGGGTGTAAGCCCTTTATTAAATAAATGATTTACAGACATTGTCTCTCAATCTGTGGCTTCTCTTTTCATTTTCTTAAATGATGTCTTTGAAGGAATTTTAATTTTGATAAAGTCTAATTTATCAACTTTTCTCTTACAGATTGCAATTTAGGTGTTATATGTAATAATTCTTTGCCTAACCTAAGGTCACAAAGATGTTCTCTTGTTTTCTTTAAAAAGTTTTATGTTTTCACTCTTACATCTAGTCCTATGATCTGTTTTGAGTTAAATGTTTGTGTATGTTGTGAGGTAGGAGTGAGGTCTAAATCTATTTTTGTATGTGGATATTCAGTTGTCTGAGCACCATTTTATTAGAACACTCTCCTTTCCTCTATTTAATTGTTTTGGCACCTTTGCTAAAAATCAGTTGAGCATAAATGTAAGGGTTTATTTCTGTACTCAGTTCTGTTCCACTGATCTGTATGTCTGTCCTTTTGTGCCAGTACTAGACTGGTTTGATTACTGTGGTTTTATAAAAAATTTTAAAATCAGTGATTTAAGCTCTCCAACTTTGTTCTTTTAAAAGATTGTTTTGACTATTCTAGATTCTTTACATTTCTTTAAAAATTTTAGGACAAGATGGTTATTCACAGTGAGTGGGGGGGATGTCTTCTGGGCTTTTGATAGAGATTGTATTAAATGAATCTGTTGATCAATTTGGGAGAATTGCCATTTTAGTAATATGGAATCTTCTAATCCATACACATGGAATATTTCTCTATTTATTTGGATCTTTGTTAATTTCTCTCAGTAATGTTTTGTAGTTTTCTGTGTACAGATTTTCCACTTTTTATTAATTTATGCTGAAGTATTTTATTCTTTTTTATACTTTGTGAAAAAGAATTTTTGCTTAATTTCATTTTCAGATTTTTTATTGCTAGTAGGTAGAAAATTCAGTTGATTTTTGTATATTAATCTTTTATCCTGTGACCTTGCTAAACTCCTTTATTGCTTCAAGTAGTTTTTTGGTGGATCTTTTAGGATTTTCTAAATACAGGATCATGTCATCTGAAAATAAAGACAGTTTTATTTATTCCTTTCCAATCTGGATGCATTTTTTTCTTGCCTGATTGCATTTTCTATTGATTTCATTGTAACACCTTATGTACTTCTTTATTCTAGACCATACTTTTTAAAGAATATTACATAAAATATAAACAGACTATGTATTATAGCTTAATTCTGATATATTAATAAATTTATATTTTCTTAACTTCAGTTTATAGTAAACACATACCGAACTGTCTTTTTATAATATACACGGTTTGAAGTTAAGTTTATGGCCTCCAACTTACCTATGTGTTTCAGAGACATAATGAGCAGTGAAAATTTGCCTCCAATAATGCACAGTTTAGAAGTTCTTCATTTGGCCTACAATGGAATTTGTAATTTGATCCAGCTACAACTTAACAGACTAAGAAATTTAAAATTCCTCTTTCTACAGGGTAAGTAGAAATACTGTTATTGTATAAGCCTTTATTTTTAAAAACTGATTTTATCATCATTCTGTTTTGATAAGCAAATATAAGCATCAGTATTTACTCAAACAGATTCACAGACAAAAATATTTTAGTAATCACAAATGAATTTTTCCTGGCTACTTACATACTTTTAGAAACCATTTTCAAAGGTCAATGCGGTATTCTGAGAATATAGACAGTATTACATCATAATTTACTTGTATATAGTATTCAACTTAAAAAACAATAAAAAAACTAGTGGGTAATTCACAAGTATTTATTAAACTCAGAATTGTCATAAGTACTATGAAAGATATGGAGGTACTTTGTTATTATAATTATGTATCATTGAAATCCTTGATCTAAGTAGTTTAAGATCTATCTGTGGAGATGTACTGAGACAAAGATGAATTAAGTTCAGACTACGTATTACTAACTTAAGTGCAACAGAAGTTCAGAGAAAAGAGAAATTAAAAGATTAGCTCGTCAACATGTATAGAGCTCTTTAAATGAGTGATAGAATCTAGACTGAAGGTGAGCATTACTGAGTGCTTTGCAAGCAGGGGAAAGGAGGAAAAGAGTCACAGGACATGACTGTGGTGTCTGTGGGCCAACACTTGAAAAGGGAACAACCTGATGAGAACAAAGAATATGCACTTTTCTAAGAGAGTTATAAATCCTCTAAACATGATCAATTTGATAAATAATCCGCATTTCAATATATGAGATCATGTTATTTAGTTTTTATTTAAATAAGCCTCATTACTTTACAGTAATTTTTAAGTTATACTTCAACTTCTGTGATACATGTGCAGAATGTGCAGGTTTGTTACATAGGTATACACGTGCCATGGTGGTTTGCTGCACCCATCAACCTGTCATCTACATTAGGTATTTCTCCTAATGCTTTCCCTTCCCTTGCCCCCCTACTCCCTGACAGGCCCCAATGTGTGATGTTCCTCTCCCTGTGTCCTTGTGTTCCCATTGTTCTCTCCCACTTATGAGTGAGAACATGCAGTGTTTGGTTTTCTGTTCCTGTGCTAGTTTGCTGAGAATGAGGGTTTCCAGCTTCATCCATGTCCCTGCAAAGGACATGAACTCATTCTTTTTTATGGCTGCATAGTATTCCATGGTGTATATGTGCCACATTTTCTTTATCCAGTCTAACACGGATGGGCATTTGGGTTGGTTTCTAGTCTTTGCTATTGTGAATAGTGCTGCAATAAACATATGTGTGCACGTGTCTTTATATTAGAATGGTTTATAATTGTTTGGGGATATGCCCAGTAATGGGGTTGCTGGGTCAAATGCTATTTCTGGTTCTAGATCCTTGAGGAATTGGGACACTGTCTTCCACAATGTTTGAACTAATTTACACTCCCACCAACAATTAGTAATTTTTAAATTTTGTATAATAGTGAAAAATTGAGGTTGAAAATATAGAGCAGGACCAAAGTAGGGAAAGTCAAGCAGAGAAATTTGTACAGGATATAGTCCATAATAGGTAGGAGCTTGAAACTTTAAGAAAAGTAGCATGAGAAAAACACAGGGCTTGGGACATTAGTCTAACAATAATTTTTAATGGCATAGGAGAAAGGCAGGTATATCCATCAGTGGGACATGTGGGGAGATACTGAGGTAGTTGATCTGAGTACAGTAACTTCTCAAAGACAGGATTTTCTAGACCATATTTTTAAAAATTTGAATGCATCTATCAAAAGCACTTGTGATTTGGATCAAGAACCCGGAGACTTGGCCTTAAAACCAAGAAATTAAGCACAATGACAGATCTTTTTTTTAAAAAAAATTATTTTAGATTCAAGGGGTACATGTGTATTTTTGTTAACATGGTATTATGTTCTGGTGGGAATTGGGCTGCTAGTGTACCTATTGCCCGAATAGTGAATATAGTATCCAATAGCTAATTTTTCAACCCTCACCCCTACTCCCATTCTCCCCCTTTTTGCAGTGTACTTATTATTGGAGTGTACTTACTGTGAACTTACTGCTTAGCTCCCACATGTAGATAAGAACATGCAGTATTTCAAAAAAACCAGCCGGGCGAGGTGGCGGGCGCCTGTAGTCCCAGCTACTCGGGAGGCTGAGGCAGGAGAATGGCGTGAACCCGGGAGGCGGAGCTTGCAGTGAGCCAAGATCAGGCCACTGCACTCCAGCCTGGGCGGCAGAGCGAGACTCTGTCTCAAAAAAAAAAAAAAAAAAAAAAAAAAAAAAAGAACATGCAGTATTTGGTTTTCTGTTTCTGAGTTAGTTCACTGAGGATAATGGCCTCCAGCTCCATCCAGGCTGCTGTAGAGGGAGGGCATGATTTCATTCTTTTTTATGGCTATGACAGATTGGTATTTGTTTTCGTGTGTTTTTTTGGTTTGTTTTTTGTTTTTGTTTCATTTTTTATTTTATTATTTATTATTTATTATTATTTTTTGAGAATGGGTTTCTCTCTATCACCCAGGCTGGAGTGCATTGGTACGATCATAGCTCACTGCAGCTTCAACCTCTGGAGCCCAAGTGATCCTCCCACCTCAGCCTCCTGTGTAGCTGGGACTATAGGCTTGTGCCACCATGCCTGGCTAATTTTTTTATTTTTCTCTCTTTTTTTGTAGATATGGGGTTTCAATTTGTTTCTCAGGCTGGTCTCAAACTCCTGGCCTTAAGAGATCCTTTCACCTCAGCCTCCCAAAATGGTGGGATTACAGGCATGAGCCACCACTCCCTGCCCAGATCTTTTAAAAGATACATTGACATACAAAAAAGCAGACAACCTAACCCTGGAAGGTCTATTTCAATCGAATAATGTAAGGGAGGAGTGTGTTCTGATGCCATGGCTAGCATGGCAAATTAGACTAGGGCAGCCTTATGCAGGAAGTAAGGCAGTTTACTCTGACAATAACAGCTGCCATTTGTGGAGTCAGTGGGTAAGGTGTTTGTCTACATCATTGTCATATTTAATCTTCACAGCAACTCTACATGGTAAGGATTGTTACATGTATTTTACAAAAGAAAAAAGTGACATTCAGTGTGGTTTAATAATTTGCCAAGTTTGCACCAGTGTGTGTTATGGTACCAAGTCAAACCTAGATCTATCTACCTTCAAAGCACATGCAGTTTCTATCCAGCTTGAATGACATAATAAGGGCATAGACTAGAGTGCTGGCAGTGGGAGTGGTAAGAGGTGAGTCCAAAAGGCAGTTTAAAAGGAAGAAATATTAAGACTTAGTGGCTAATTAGATGTAAAATAAGGAGAAAAACTGTCCCAGATGTTTTTAAAATTTCATTGGGAGATTGGGCAAGAGGAGGTACTAAAGCTAAAGTCATTGGGAAATGTTGCTTATTTGAGAGTAGAGAAAGATCAGTTTGTGTTGTAACAATTTTGATGCATTAAAAATAGAAAGTTGGCTGGGCGCAGTGGCTCACGCCTGTAAACCCAGCACTTTGGGAGGCCGAGGCGGGCGGATCACAAGGTCAGGAGATCGAGACCATCCTGGCTAACACGGTGAAACCCCGTCTCTACTAAAAATACAAAAAATTAGCCAGGCGTGGTGGCGGGCCCTGTAGTCCCAGCTACTTGGGAGGCTGAGGCAGAAGAATGGCATGAACCCGGGAGGCAGAGCTTGCAGTGAGCCGAGATCCCGCCACTGCCCTCCAGCCTGGGCAACAGAGCGAGACTCCGTCTCAAAAAAAAAGAAAGTTTTTCTAGCAATAGTACTGGACCACAAGTCAGGACTAGAGATATATTATTTCAGAATGATCACAATGGAAGTGAAAGGTGAAGTCATAAATGTATGTGCTTACTTAGGAAGTAAGCACACAGAAAGATGAGTGAAAGGCTGAAAAGAGCTTTGAAGACATTCTACCCCTTTCTCTGTATCCCTGTCAGCATTTATTATTACCTGTCTTTTTGATAAAAGCCATTTTAACTGGGGTGAGATGATATCTCGTTTGTATTTCCCTTATGATTAGTAATGCTGAGCATTTTTCCATATACCCATTGACCATTTGTATTTCTTCTTTTGAGAAATGTCTATGCATTTCCTTTTTCCTGTTGAGTTGTTTGGGCTCCTTATATATTCTGGTTATTAATCCCTTGTCAGATGGGTAGTTTATAAATACTTTCTCCCATTCTGTGAGCTATCTCTTCACTTCGTTGATGGTTTCCTTTGCTGTTCAGGAGCTTTTTAGCTTGATGCAATCCCATTTGTCTATTTTTGCTTTGGCTGCCTGTGCTTTTGACGTATTACACAAGAAATCTTTGCCAAGTCCATTTTGATTTGATTTTTGTATATGATAAGAGATAGGGGTCAATTTTCATTTCTTCTGCATAGGGATATCCAGTTTTCCCCACACCATTTATTGAAGAGACTGTCTTTTCCCCAATGTATGTTCTTAGCACCTTTATTAAAAAAGAGTTGACTGTAAATGTGTGGATTTATTTCTGGGTTGTCTATTCTGTTCCATTGGTCTATGTGTCTGTCTTTACGCCAGTTATTATGAGGACACTAGTCATATTAAATTAACGCTCATCCCAATGACCTCATTTTAACGTTAATTATCTTTTAAAGACCCTGTCTCCAAATACAGTCACATTTTGAGGTACTGGAGGTTAGGATTTTCACATATTAATTTCAGGGGGACACAATTCAGCACATAATAATCAAGGAGAATGAATATTGAATGAAATGTAGTGTGGCATACTAGAAAGATAATTGAGCTTAAAATGTAAAAAGTCTAAGTTAGGCCTGATATTGCCATTTTTATGTCTTTGAGAAAGCCACTTAATTTCTCTGACCTTCAATTTTCTGATTAGAAAAAAGAGATAAAATATTTCCCCTGTAGTATTTTGAGACTCTGATAGAAAATACTGTACATATAAAAAAATTTTGTAAAGTGACGAGTCTTCACATAAGTTATCATTACTATCTATATAGCTATTGATAGCTACAATAGAGAGAAATCATAGGTTATAAATAAGGGTTTAGAGTTTTGAAGAATTAAATGAACTTTGATGTGTTTAATATGGTTGCAGTGCAAAAATATGAGAAAGAACAGCATAATTAATGGTGTTCTTCTAACATAATACAACAAATTAGTCTATTTTAAGAAATAATTAAATATACTATTGTAATGTCTATTAGAGTAATAATATACTCAGGAAGCATATGTTTTGCAGCACTTTTCTGTATCTACTTTTGTCAATACCAACTATTTTAACAATTACTGAACAGACATATTAGATCATTTCAGTACATTGTGTACATCACATCCTGATCTTTCAAATTCACAAATGAGAAATTTTAGCAAATATTATTTTATGATGATGCTACCTTCCTGTAAATTACATTTCAATTTCTCTTTGGAAATAAGTTTCTTGAATCCTTTACTTCTTTTGAAAAATCATCTGATTAAAAGATATTTATATGTAAGTAGATATCCTTTAATTCAAGAAGTTTGGGCTCACTTGATATATCATGACTTCTTTCTTTTTAGGTAATGAAATCAGCCAAGTTGAAGGGCTTGACAACTTAGTAGTCCTTCAGGAATTGGTAGTGGATCATAACCGCATCCGATCATTTAATGACAGTGCTTTTGCCAAACCAAGTTCTTTATTGGCACTTCACTTGGAGGAAAACAGACTACGAGAACTGGGCAAATTACAATCTTTGGTAAAACTAGAGAAACTCTTCCTAGGATATAATAAAATCCAGGTAACTATTATTTTTTTATTATGGGATTTACAAGCTTTAGTTTCTCTGAGTTCTGAACATAAAGCTTCCAAGAACATCAATGAAAATGTTGCTAGTATGTTATTTATCATTTATATACCATCTATATTTCAAGGCATAGAAATAGTCTGTGATGCAGAAATATTCACCCTACTTCTAGACTTAAGAACTGGACAAAGCCACATGCACAAGCTCATTAACAAAGATTAGGTCTACATGTTCTAAGGCTCTTCTCATCAGTCCTCTCTGAGAGTTCTCATTTGTTCCTTGACTGCTCTTGATCCAAGTTGTTTCTGAATCTTGATTCTGGACTTCCTTTGGCCCCTTAAACTTATCATATGTACTTGTTCTACCCAGCATTTGAATCAACTCCTGATAACGGACTTTGACTCGGCTTTAATGTTATATCTCTCCCCACTCAAGGCTTCCTTAGATAGGATCCTGGCTTAGTTTTACCTGCTGAGAATTTAACCTGTTACTTTTAGGTCACCGCCCCAACTGAACCGCTCAGACTCTCTCCTGAGATAGCATACAGATAAGAGTTGAAGACATAACCTTATACAGCCCTCACATTTCTCTCAGCATTTCTGTGGTGGTCTCTTAGCTCTCCTTTTACCAGCTTTTCTACTTCTGCCAATACCTCTAAGATAGCCTCAAAGACAGACTGAACTCTGGACTAACCGCCAAGGGCAGGCAGCAAGTCTGTCTTGTCTACATTTGTATCAGCATACAGCATAGTACCCAGTACATAATAGATCCTCCATAAACGTTTGTGGCTCTACTTGCTATAGAGTTCAGGAAGCCTTTTCTGGGGGTGATTTTTTAAAAGCCCTGGACAAGGTTAGAAGGAAATCATGAGCCATGCCCCTTTCTACAAAGCAATTAGGGAATGTACATACAGATAAAAATAGTATACAACTAATTTATACAGATTCAAACATTCATCTGAGAAAAGCCTGCCAAAACTGGGGATAATTCTTCCTAAGATTTATCAAGAAGAAATCTAAATTAGGAAAATTGCCCTTCTATGGAGATCTTTCCAGTGATAGCAACTGAGCTAACAAAAAAGACTGTCAAATCAGACTTAACACTCATCAGAGATTTTATCTGGTATCGAGCTTTATAAATAATTTCAAGGACACATAGGGCCCAGGACATGCCTAGTGCCTTCTCAGGCCCTTCCTTCCCACATCACACACACCACCGAGCTTAGAATAAAATGTGAGGTCTTCAAGTGAGATTCCATGAGGTGATCTTATACAATAAGGGAGTGTGTTTCATTTACGAACCATCTCCATTTCAAACTTGAAATTATGTGACATTTTACAGGGATCCATGCCTTATAATTCTATAGATTCTAGGTTTATTTATTATAGGCAGTCCTTAACCAAGAAGATCTGCTAAGAATAAGGACCGCTAAGAGAATATCATAAATGAGGACCTTCTTCCTAGCAAGTATCATTGCTTTATTTGACAGGATGTCCAGTTACCAGATTAGATCTGGTAACCTGCTTTTCCACAAGAGTGTCCCTGCTCTCTACTCCTCTATCCCTCTTAAGCAAATGAATCGATAGAGATCAGCTGGTATAACAACTATACTTAGTCAAGCTTATTTATTAACAAAATCTAATATAGCTAAATGACAACTTATATATCATGAGAGATTCTACATACCATTGAATGAAGAAGTAAGTATTATTATTTAATGATCATCCCTTATTTGTTTTATTTTTATCCTTGAAATGGTATTTTCCATTGAATTTAGATAGATCATTTTGCCTTTAAGCTTATTCTAACCATTAATATTATAGTACCTTAATGTGACCATACATTTAGATGGGGAAAAAATGAACTCAGAGGAATAGAAAGGTTATGTTGGAAATTCTGTTGAATTCTACTGAAAACATATTTTCTTCAAACTTCTAACTCTCCTTTCAAATTTTATTTTTGAGAGAGATTCTGTCTCTAGATTCATACCAACATGGGCAGGCTGATACCAGCATTAATTTCAACAAAGGGACAATCAGATAACTTTGGGTTAATAAAAACTGATAGAAGGGAGAAAGCCTAGAAAAATTAACAAAGGAACAATATTTCAAGTGAAGGTATATGCAGTCCCTCGTTGGCCTACTTTAACATCCTTCAGAAGCTATATCCTTGATAAAATATAATACATACCCTTGATTCTGGTGTGATGCTTTTTACTTAGCCATCATGTCCAATAATATAGATTTAGCAAATTGTTGTCTATAGTCTTGCTTCTAAAGAAAGAATCACACAAACACAATTGAAAGATTCATTATTTAATTCACCTTTATAGTCCTGTTTGATCCCTGTGTCTAAATGATTCCCCTACCTGGCATCCAGCTACTCTGTCTACTTTTAAACATATAATTAATCACCTGAAGCTGAAAAGAACCCCAAGAATAGTCTATTGCTATTTCCTGTCCTCAGTGAAGGCCCCAATCCAGGCACAATTATTATTATGATTGCCTTAAGTACTTACGCTGACATTGTAACTACCATTGGTATCCTGGTTAATGCTTAACAACTGGCTCTCCAAGAGGAAAAAAATCCCTAATGAGTAACATTTGCCAATTTCTATGGTATAATTTCTTCTGTCATAGCCAATTTCAGGCTAACACACCATCTCACAAAATTCCTAAAAATTTACCAGTTGACTTTTTGTGAGCCAGTAGCAGCACACTACTGTAAAAAATAATGCTGCATATTAAAAATGGGAAGCCATCAGCCCTCTCCCCCCAATTATGGACATATTAGTTTCCCTGATGTCTCTTTAAAAGTTTATGCCATCATTATCTTCTACAAATTTAATAGTCTATTTCCCATATTAACATTTTCTGTGAAAACAGAAATTTTGATTAGGAATATTTCACTAGTGACTACTGTTATGTTTGGTTTAATTTGAGAAAATAATGTAAGACTTTTCGCATGTCCGTGATTACCGATCAGGCCTTGGTTCCACAGACAGAAACTGCCTGTGGGTAAAAATGCACAATATCTCTATAGATTTACAGATTTTTCAAAACCCTCCTTTATGATACTTCCAAAATCAAAATAGTAAAGATCAGTCATTTTAAAAATCAAATTCACTTCCAAATGATCTAAAATAGGTCTAAATATTTTTACACATACTAGAAGAATTTGCTATATGTCCACTTGTAATTCCACAAAGGAATACAGGCATGTCAATAACTTTGTTGTGTTACATGAACTAGCAACAACTTTAGGCTGAGCTTGTTGACTAAAGTTTGTCAGAAATAGCATTTTAGAAATAATTTTGCAAAAACTAAAATATATTTGCAAACTTTCACCAATGTTAAATGGAAGCTAATAAATAATGCTATGCAATGGAGAAGGCAAATTATTTAACATGAGAGATAGTTTTTCAGCTATATATATTCCCAGCAAGTATATCAAGATGCAATCCACTCAATAGCACACATTCTTTTATTGTTAAGGTTGTGTTTAGTTATGTACCTTTAAAACTTTTAGATTTGGTTCACCTTTTCCATACTTTTTTGTCAATGTGCTGGAGGAATTAACCAAATATAATCTGAGTCCTAGAATAAATCATAATTCTGAGAAAAAATTTGGTCTTTTCTTACAAGTGCTGCTATATATCCAATTTTCCATGTTAGACTGTTATCTTTGCCAGTCATGTATTTGAAATCTACAGTACACAGATCTGCCTTTTTTCAAGAATACAGAAGACTGTCACTGTCACTCAAGCTCACTTCAGAGAATTCAATCATGAGCTAGCTGCAATCTAACACTTACATATAATTACTTCAAATGAGTCTACATTTGAAGATGTTGAGTCTAACCAAATAATAACTGATTAACTTTTGAATAGGATATCACAGAACTGGAAAAACTTGATGTTATCTCTACTCTCAGGGAGCTTACAGTGTACGGCAATCCAGTGAGTATGTTACCATTCTAATTTATTATTTAATTTACTGGTAGTTTTATAAAATTTATTTTTATATGGTATTAGAAAGGGATTTAATTTTATGTTTCTGTATGCATAGCCAGTTATCCCAGCCCAAATGTATTGACTTCTTCCAACTGATTACAGTGCAAACTGTCATTGTCATGTATAAATAAGGTCTGTTTCAGGTTTCCACATTATATTCCTTGGCCTATTTTTCTAACCCTGTGCCAATATTATATAGTGTTAATTAATTAACATTTTGTAGTAAGCCTTGATGTCTGGTAGAATAAGCACCTCTAATTCTTCCTCTTTCACCTCCTTCTCTTTCTCATTATTTCTTTCTCTTTCTTCACTGCCTTGGCTATTCTTGGCCCTTTACAGTTTTCTATAAATTTTAGGAACCAACCCGTCAAGTTACATGAGAATCTTGTTGATATTTTAATTGGAATGGCATTCAATTTATAAATTAATTTGGGGAGAAAGTTGCAACCTTTCCTGTTGGAATCTTTGAGGGGACCCAATAAGTAGCACCCTTGTTCACCTAATTTCTAAACAGATTGAGTAATATGACAATGGAGAGGCAAAAATATCAGCTTAGCTTAGTGAGAAATCAAAGGGGCATGTTATCAGATTTCAGAAATAGTCAGTCATGATCACCCAGATATAGAAAATACTACACCGAGCTTTTTCTGCATAAGAGGAGAGCTACTCTTGGAGAGCAGAACACATTCTTCCAGAACACTCTTTTCCCAAGAAGGGAGCTAAATCACTCAACTTCCCCTAGTAGAGAGGAAGTGAAGGGTCTGAGAAAACCCAGGAGGGCCACATCATAGAGCTACTTCCACCAAGAAGAAAATAGCAATAAACAGTATCCCCTAATATTTATAGTATTCAGCCTTCACATTAACATAAATATCACTCCATTTATTTCATGTCTTTGAATAAATATTTGTAATTTTCTCCATAAAGATTTTAATCATCTTTGGTTAGATTTATTGTTGTTTTAATTGCTTTTTAAATAGTGTCTTTATTTTCCTAATTGTTTGTTGCTGGAGTGTATACATTCTGATTTTTGTATATTGCTTTTTATCTAGGACCCTTGCTGAACCCTCTTTTTAATTATAATGGTTTGTAATTTTTTTTGGATTTTCTCTATAGACTATTATCTGCAAATATGACTATCATTTCTTTCCAGTTCTCACATTTTTAATTTCCTTTGCTTCTCTTAGCATGCTATCTAGGACCTCTAGTACAGTGTTGAATTAGAAGTACCATTAGAAGTACTTATAGTAAGTTACTAACTTCAAAAGAATGCTTTAAAGTTGTCACTACTTAATATGATGTTTGCAGCAGGTTATGGGAAGATAACCTTTAACAGCTTAAGGAAATTCTAGTTCCAGTTTCCTACCAGTTTTGTCTTGAATGGGCATTGCTTTTTCAGTAATTGGTAATATAGTTTTTCTCTTTAATCTGTTAATATGGTAAATTACAATAATAGACTAGTGTTAAACCATCTTGAAATTCCTGGGATGAATACTTCTTGGTCATGTTTTATATTTTATTGGATTCAATTTGCTAATATTTTATGTAGCATATCTGTATCCATGGAAATAAGTGAAATTATCCTATAATTTTATCTTCTTTTAGTATTCTTTTCAACTCTCTCAAAGTTTTACTTGCTTCATAAAATAATTTGGGAGCATTCCCTCTTTCTTCAATCTATGGAGTTTTTATATGTAATGTCTCATATACTTCTGGAAGGATAATTAAACCTTATCTCTAGAACTCTCTGGGCTTAATATTTTTTTAGGTTATATTTTAAACTACTTAAATTCTTTAATGGCGATAAAGCTAGTCACGTTTGTATTTCTTAAAACAGCTATTCTGAGAAGTTATATTATCTAGAAAATTGCCCTTTTTAGGTAATTTTTTTTTTCTTTTTTTTTTGAGACAGAGTCTCTCTCTGTCACCCAAGATGGAGTGCAGTGGCACGATCTCAGCTCACTGCAGCCTCTGCCTCCCGGGTTCAAGCAATTCTCCTTCCTCAGTCTCTCAAGTAGCTGAGATTACAGATGCATGCCTTCATGTCTGGCTAATTTTTTGTGTTTTTAGTAGAGACGGAGTTTCACCATGTTGGCCAGGATGGCTTTAATCTCCTGATCTCATGATCTGCCTGCCTCTGCCTCCCAAAGTGCTGGGATTACAGGCGTGAGCCACCTTGCCTGGCCTGTAAAATTTTAATGTATTGCTCTCATAGTACTTTCATGAATTGTTTTTCATTTATTTTTTAAAATTTGTATTGATGTAAAATATACATATACAATTTACCATATTTACATTTTTAAATGTCCAGTTTAGTGTAAATAAATATATTTATATTCTTTATTGTTCCTTTCATTCCCATCTCTCATCCCCGCTCCCCTTCCCAGACTCTGGTAACCACCAATCTAGTCTTCGTCTTCATTAGATCCACTTTTTTAGCTCCCACATATGAGTGAGGGCATATGATATTTGTTTTTCTGTGCCTGGCTTATTTTACCTAACATAATGGTTTCCAATTCCATCCATATTGCTGCAAATAACAGGATTTCATTCTTTTTATGGCTGAATAATGTTCCATTGTGTAGATATACCATATTTTCTTTATCCATTCATCCACTGATGGGCACTGAGGTTGATTCCATATTTTGGCTATTATGAATAATGCTGCAATAAACATAGGAGTACAGGTATCTCTTTGATGTATTGATTTCCTTTCTTTTAGATACATACCCGGTAGTGGAATGGCTGGAAAAGATGGAAGTTCTATTGTGAGTTTTTTAAGGAACCTCCATACTGTTTACCATAATGGTAATTTACATTCCTACCAACAGTGTGCACAGGTTCCCCTTTCTCCACATCCTTACCAGCATCTGTTATTGCCTGTAGTTTTGATGTCAGCCATTTTAACTGGGGTAAAATGATACCACATTGTGGTTTGGTTTGCATTTCTCTGATTATTAGTGACTTTGAGCACTTTTTTTTTTTTTTTGTAAACCTGTTGGCCATTTGTATGTCTTCTTTTGAGAAATGTCTGTTCAGATCTTTTGCCAGTTTTTAAATTTAATTATTTATTTATTTTTGGCTGTTAAGTTGTTTGCGCTCTTATGTGTTCTGGTTATTAATCCCTTGTCAGATGGATTGACTGCAAATATTTTCTCCCATTCTGTGGGTTGTAGCTTTACTTCGTTGATTATTTACTTTGCTGTACGGAAGCTTTTCAGTTTGATGTAATCCCATTTATCCATTTTTGCTTTGGTTGCCTGTGCTTTTGATGTCTTACACAGTATTTGCCCAAATAAATGTCTTGGAGGATTTCAGCAATGCTTTCCTCTAGTAGTTTCATAGTTTAAGCTCTTAGATTCAAGTCTTCAATCCATTTGGATTTGATTTTTGTATATGGTGAGAGATAGACATCAATTTTCATTCTCCTATTCAGAGTTATCCACTTTTCCCAGAACTATTTATTAACAAGACTGTCATTTTCTCACTGTAAGTTCTTGGTGTTTTTGTCGAAGATGAGTTGACTGTAAATGCATGGATTTATATCTGGGTTATCTATTCTGTCACGTTGGTCTATGTGTCTTTTTTTAATGCCAGCTCCATGGTTTTTTGGTTACTATAGCTTTGTAATAAAATTTGAAGTCACATTGTGTGATGCCTCCAGTTTTGTTCTTTTTGCTCAGGATTGCTTTGGCTATTTGGGAATATTTTAGGATTTTTTTTTTTTTATTTCTGTGAAGAATGTTTTAGGTATATTGATAGGGATTGCATTGAATATGTAAATAGCTCTGGGTAGTATTGTCTTTTTTTTAACAACAGATATTTATTTCTCACAGTTCTGGAGGCTGAAAGTACAAGATCAAAGGGCCAACTGATCCAGTTCCTGGTGAGGACCATCTTCCTGGCTTGCAGATAGTTGTCTTGCTGTATCCTCACATGGCTCTGGTGGGAAGGGTTGGGTGTGAAGAGGGCACAAAAACTCCTGGTCTCTACTATACTTTTCTGTAAGGGTACTGGTCCCATCATAAGGACCCCATCCTGATGACCTCATTTAAACCTAATCACCTCCCAAGACTCCAACTCCTAATAATACCATTACATTAGGGGTTAGGGCTTTAATATATGAATTTTGGGGGCACATCAGCATTCAGTCCATAGCAAAACTTAATCCTCAGCCTCAACTCAGGGTTCACCTATTGTTCTCATAATGTCTGTTATAGCAAAAGTATTCAGCCAGGATCATGCATTGCTAAGAGACATTAGTGGTCATGTACCTTTAGCTCTTCCAGTCTAGAAGATTCCTCCTCCAGACTGAGGAATCTTCCAGACCAGAGAAGCCAAAGGGACATGATGATTCCTTCACTTTGATGACTTTGACACTTTTGAAGATTATGGACCAGTTAATCTGTAGAACATCCTTCAAGTTGGGTTCATCTGGTGACATCTTATGATTAGACTCAGGTTGTGCATTTTGGGGAGGGATATTGCAAAGGTGGATGTTGCATTCTCCATGTATCTGTCATACAATTTTAATTTGTCCTATTCACTGTGATCACTTGATTGAAGTGGTGTTTGCCAGATTTTTCTGCTGTAAAGTTACTCTTTGCCTCTTTATTTTTTTTGCCTTCTGTGGCATCATGTACTTTATTTTTTATATATATATATATACTTTAAGTTCTAGGGTACATGTGCACAACGTGCAAGTTTGTTACACATGTATACATGTGCCATGTTGATGTGCTGCACCCGTTAACTCGTCATTTACATTAGGTATATCTCCTAATGCTATCCCTCCTCCTTCCCCACACCCCACGACGGGCCCTGGTGTGTGATGTTCCCCATCCTGTGTCCGAATGTTCTCATTGTTCAATTCCCACCTATGAATGAGAACATGCGGTGTTTGGTTTTCTGTCCTTGTGATACTTTGCACAGAATGATGGTTTCCA